TTACGGCATTCCTGAGTTATTTCCCGGTCCCTTGGTTTTCTAGTTACCTGGCGTGTTTTCCTTTGACCCTTCCGGGACACCCTTAGTTAAAATAAAGTTTTTTTGCATGCACCTTGGTGTGTTGTCTCTGCTTTTGGGTCCAGCTTGTGTGCTGAACTACGGTTCATGACACATCTGCTTTGATGCTCACACCTCTGATGAAGTTTCACATGTATCAGTACTGAAAAATGATCAGAATTATAATATTTCTGACTATCTGAGGCAAAATTGAATCGAATTGGGACCTTGTGAATCGGAATCAAATGGATTTTAGAAATGAGTGATGATACCCAGTCCTAGTGAATAGCCTAGGCCTGACAGAAGTGGATGTAGCTGTGGGTAATAAGAAAAAATCAAAAGAACTATTGATAATGTTTTTTGTTAAGTTAAGGCCTGATCCATCTGAAATTCATAGCCAGTGCTCTGACACGGAGCCATCAACCTGTTTGCTGCAGCAGGCAACAGCAAACAGGTTGTCAGAGGAGGCTGAGATGATGATTAAGTTTAACATGGTCTACAATATTCCCAAAGAGTGCCAAAGGACTTTAAGCACAAGCACTTTTTCAGTAACTTATCTTTCTTGTAGAAATGTGCTCCAAATAAAGAACTTTGTGTTGACAAGATTGTTAGTTAATCATTTACAAATTAATAGTGTCTGTATAGACACAATTGCCTACTTAGCATAACTAAGGGAGGATTCAGGGTCACCTGATCCAGCCCTAACTATATACTTTAGCTTTAAAAGGTTTGAAGCCAAATCTTAAAAGTAGAGATAGTGTCTGTCTCCTGAATCCAAACTAGAAGCTGGTTCTATAAAAGAGGGGCCTGAAAACTGAACCCTCTCCCTCCCATTCTACTTTCAAATACTCTAGGAAGCCAGCAACAAGAGCCTAAAAAAGCGAAATTGTAACCAAGTATGGAAGCACTGAGACACTGTGGGTGTCAGGCTGGGCAGAAATAACACTCCATCATGTTACACAAAGTATTTCCAAACATCTGTAATTGTTAACTATGATTGCAAATTTCCATGTCTTGCCAGGGCCTGCTGAGAATTCGAAGAACAATTTGTTAAATGTACAGCTGTTGCATAAAGGTGTTATAAATGCTGTGATGCTCAAGATTATGATCTACAGGATATTAACTGATAAAAGTGAGCTTAAGATTCTGTATAATCAGTGTTCGTATAGTGTGCCTTGCTGTTTTGCAGTCTTAAGGATTAAGTCCTAAGGATTAATTTTTACTACACTGCAGTTCAGTTGTCATAAGTGATGGATGGAAGGAATTTTTCTGCAGTCACAGAAATATTAAACAGGGAGGAAGAAAGGAGTTTCACTGGATCACAACAGTAAAATATGGGAAAATAAGATGCATTTCATTTAAATGCGGGGCAGGTTTATGTAGTGAGGCAAATTTTGTGATGTCACAATTACAGTGTGATTCACTAACGATTTATTTACAAAGACGCAGCCAGTTCAGTAATAACCAGCATTCTCCCAAGAGAAGGACTCAAAACTCATGAGAAGGGAGCGTGAGGGAGAGCACTGTAGGCCTGCTAACCAAAATAATCCAGTGTAAATATAGGCTTCTCTCTGAAAAAAGTGAGGCAGTTCAGATCACTGAGGAGGCTGAAGGAAAATTAATATGCTTCTGATACAAGAAATAACTCTTCAGATAGAAATTGACAAGCACTGTGAACGTGCAAAATCCATAGTTCTGAGGACTGAGACTCAGGTGGAGCTCAGGAGAGCTGCATTAATACAAACTGTTCCACCATACCAAATTGGGCCCAATTAAAGCATACCTGTTTTGTGCTGCCTGCTTTAACCTTACTATAACGGACATAGTCTATGTATTTATGTCTGTTCCTGTGATGGCTGCAGTTATAGCCACACATATTGAGTAATATCTACCAAACATCACAGTGCTACAACAGAGACTTATACATAACACTACACTTATTTTGCTTTCTTTAAAAATAGCCTTTACTTTACAGAGTGATGAAGGTGGTTTTGGTTTAGAATTGATTTATACAATCACACAATACTGTATTCTATAAATAAGTGTGCACACTTTAATTTACACTGTTACACTTAATGTAATCTTTCTCTGTTTTCTGAGTTACCTTAGTGGCAGCTGCTCCAGTTCCTTGGCTGATGAACTAAGAATCTATATAAAGACCAACAAATTAGGTCATACCACAACTGCATCGTGGAGGGGAGGGGGGGTAATGATATTTGCTATGTTACTTTCAGTAAGGTTTTTGTGTGTTTCACCCCTTTTTGTGTCTTTGTGGGCTCTTTTTGAATTATTTTCAAAACACTCAAATCATTACAAATTATATATTTAAAGTAGCTTATCTCAAAACAAATGGTAACATGTAAATGTTGACATTATGTGTACACTGTTTTATTGTAAATACATTTTGCTAAACAATGTTTAGTGCAGTGGTACTAATATGTGTTGTCATTGAAATCTGTAAATAAATTCATAAAACAGTGATGCTAATAGTGCTTGTAACTGATTTTGTCTTATACAATGAATATGTAGCGTCTATAGAAGAACAATTAATATTTTTTAAATATGTAATTATAAATGTTTTTAATAATAACACAACAAAATAAATTAAAGTACATATGTGATCCAAAAAACATCTGTGGGACAGGTTTATGTAGTTCTTATGCTGACAGTCGGCTTAAATTCTTCTTCTTATTATTATTATTATTATTATTTTAATAAAAGTATATTAAAATCAATGTTTAAAAAAAAAGGCTTAAGCAGCTTGTGACATGGTTAACTTTCAATATCTACCAGAGGGCGTAAAAATATTATTGAAAAAAAGAAGGCAGGGTGTTGGGAAAGCAGCTAGTTAAACTTATCATGCAATTGCTAATGCTAACTCTGTTTCCACACAAAGTGTGGCTCATAACTGATCTCAGAGCAGAACTAGTGGCAGCTTGTCTTAGATGCTAATCCCCCGTTACAATCACTGGCTGCAGCCACAAAATGGCATTGATGTAAAGGATAGATGAATATAGGTGAAATATCCCAATGGCAGAAGGCTTTGTGAAATGGAAGGAGACGGAAGGACAGAGAGAGACTTTGGTGTATTTGAAGCCATGACAAGGCAAATGTTGTTTGCCTTGCTTGACCTGACAGAGACCCTGTAGGTCAAGCAATGCTAACCGCGATGAACCCAAAAATCTCAAAACTGACCCTCAGCTTTTGTTTTGTTACTACTTCAGTTCAATTGTGTGTTTTGATTGTGTTAATCGGGCTGCTGAGGTCTTCAGCCCAGCAGTAGGTTAGTCAATTCCAAGGCTTCCAATCCGTTTGATCGACTCCTTTGTATCCTCCCACACTTCCAGAATCCAGCGTTGGGATTGGATGTTGGCTGCCTGTCAGGAAGAAAGAGATGCTATGCTGAGGCCGAAAACTCAGACAGAACCAGGACACGGACGATGTTGGAATATCTAACTGGGGGATTTTAAAGTGTGTTGGGAACTCGGAGCGATTTGAAAGTTGCCGAGCTTGAGCGGAGCAGCGACACCGGGTCTCCGTGTTCCCGCTGCGGACCGTCGCGGCTGTTCGCCTCTTGCCTGCTGCTCTCACAAACGCGAAGCCGGCGCTGTTTTAATGAGACTGGAACTGCCGTGTTTTCGACGCAGCACAGACCGGTGTGAGATTAAGTCTTTATTTAGCCCGAAGCAAACGGAAAGGCTCAGATGTCGTCGCTGGTAGCCGGGGCTAACAGCCGAGGCTGCTGGGCCACATAAATATCCCGAGAAAATCCCAACCTGATGGAGCGAGTGAGCGACGGACCACGGGCTTATTTTGCGCCAGAAGGACCATTATGACTGAGCTGCAGGCTCAGTTCTCTTTTTGAAAAGCGCCACGGGGTTCAGTGCTGGGTATTGATTTGATCGAGGGCTCATAAAAGCAGCATTTGGAGGTTCTCTGCATCAGGTGAGTGTGACATTATTCACCAATGACTATCACGGTCACGCTAACAACCCTCGTATTTATGCCACGATCTGTTTCGCTTGTTATAACCTTTAAAGTCCTTGTGCTTACATTTCTATAAGGCCCTTTTTCATACGGTCATTAAGCATGTGTACAGCGCAGCGGATTTACTGTGTGCCGTCCTCCCATACAAAAACTGGGGCATTTTCCTCTAAGTCAGTCTTAAATATTGGAAGGAGATGGTAAACGGTTCAAGTTCAGTCCCCTCTCCTAAAAAGTGTTTTTAATCTTACTGAGAGCTGCGAAAACAACGCCAACAACCTTTACTTTGCCATGTTTTCAGATATGCTAATTCTTGCTTCCCAGTCCTCGGGTGATGGCACTGAGCACACAGACAGCCGTACGTCAGCTGCCTAGCTCAGCGGCAACAGTTGCACGCAGGAATACGGTCATGGTGGGGAAAGCTCGTTGAATGGTAGCATGGGCTTGGTAGTCCGTGGGCAGGTGCTAACTGACCGTCTACCTGCACGTTTTGTCAGATGTGGGCAGTGTCAGAAATGTGCAGCGCAACCAGTTACCGTGAAGAAGATCCAAGTTCTAACCAATGACCTAACAGCTCCCCCAAATGAAGCCAAAAGGTCTCTATCGCCCCCTGGTGTCTGGCTACAGTATAGGTCACAAACCCCGCCTCCTCCATTTTAGAAGGTGGGACTGAGGTAAAACAAAAACAAAAATTCTCCTCAGATAATTTTTTCCAAGAATTTGCTTTCGGCCATTATTAGTAGTTCGCGTCATGTTGATTCATGTTCAAGGGGTCCCCCTTCTCATAACTCTGATTCTAATTACAACTATAATACTGTTCAATTGGGTCATGGTAACAGCTCTGAAAAACAGCTGCAATCACGGAGAAACTTGCCTATCTCTGTTCGAGAATGGCAGATGAATCCATGGATGCTGAGAGGAGGGCAAGCGTTTACTTTACAAAACCATGACTGACTGTGTCATACTGACAGCATGAGATGATCTGCAGTAATCAACAGAAGGACCCGAGGTCCTGCTGCACTTTTTTGGTAAGTTAAATGTGTGTTTGTAAGCTAATCAGTAAAGTCCTTAGCTAGCTAGCTAAGCTTACAGTTGGCTTTTGGGTAAAGCTGTGCTCATTAGCTAATCCGTGCACATGAATGAATTTACCTTGACTAAAGAAATCCCTGTTACCATATGCTACCCGTACATACGGGTGTGTGAGGACATGGAAGGATCAGTTTTATTTCAGATTTCAGAGATAAACTTCACATTTGACAGTTTGTAATGAGTCTTTTCTCATTGTGATTACAGGAGCTGCCCTCAAATTCAGACCTCAGCACTACCCAGTAACATCATCCTGTATGTTCACTCTTAATGCAGAATACACTTAATTTAATATTGGAGTAAATTAGCAATAACTCCAGATGTAACTAATGGAATAAAGTACAAAGTCTAAAGTACCATGTTATGTTCTGTTAGTGAATGCTGCAGCTGTTTTACTGAGAAAATTAAAGACAAAACGTCAGGTCATCAATATACAATGAGCATAAACAGTAAGTTTGGTGTTTAAGAACGCTGCTGATCTCAGATCTGCACAGCTTTTGCTTTTAACAATGAATGTCTTCAGCTACATGAAGAGGACATTAAATAAAACCTGGTGAAAGGTCATAAGTTGTCACTTGTATGTTGAACTAAAAACTTTAACCTGGAATTCTACCCAACTGTGTTTTGCCAATAGCAAATCATTATAATTCATACCAGAGTACCCAGAGGGGATAATGTATATTTCTAATGTATAACTTTCTACAGAAGTGAATATATCATTGTTATGTAAAAGTCCAGAGCCTCTAAGCTTGGCTGAGGATATGAGTACGTCTAATATCACACAATGCAAAGTTCGCTGTCCCACTGTTCATGAAATGCTGGGTTTGTCCATCTTCTGGGGCGGGCCTACAGTGGAGAAAGAAAAGTTTTCCTCTGAGTGTGATGCTGGTGAAGATTATGAGTTCTCCCTCTTTTTAATTATAGCGACATGATTGTGCAACATGTAGAGAGCTGCTGTTTTAAAAACCATGACAGCTGTCCATGGCAGCCACTGCCTCTACTTTATACATTACATTTTTAATTTTTGTTTAATCTTTCATGTTTTTTTGTTTTGTTTTTTTTGTTGTTGTTTTTCCCCCCTGTAGTTTCTCCCACTCCTGCTAAACTCTGTCCGTTTCTCAATACTCAAGTATGCAAGTCTGTACTCACGTTCTCGCTAGTCCGTACTTTGTAAGTTCATCGTCATTCCACAATTGGAATGGTAGTATACTTGATGACATCTCAGCTCCAGGGTTTTAACTGCCATCCCCTCTTAATTTAAGTGTGATTAATATTTGCAATTGAAAAGATGCATGATGTAGTAGATTTCTTTATGAAAAAACAAATAATTTAAATAAGTATTTTAAGCATTTTGGCCAAATTTGCTTTTACTTTTATCTGTTTCATAATGTCTAAGCTTAATACAGTTGAGCACAATCACTTCATGACAAAAACTCAAGTTTAATCTCTCTTAATAAGCTATGCTGCTTATTGAATAAAAACAAACAGATGAGATATTAGAATGCTTTTATTTTAGTAGACACTCAAGACCTACAATAGTCTGCTGGGGTTCAGAAGAGAATTGAACAAATATTTAAAACATAATTTGATCATTTCTGGAGCAGTCTTCAGGATCTCCATATATTAACATCCGGTTTCTGTTTCCTGTTTCCTTCTGAATTAAAATATTTTTAATGTTAGTGTTTGATGTTTAGTAAAGAGTCTGGGTTCATGATTCCCTATAAACTTTTACTGTGTGTAACTGTGGAGACATTACATGCAAGCAGCTCGACTCCAGGGGTGGGAACCTGGTCCTGTGTTAGCCATTTTTAATTGCGTGCATGGACTTCAAATATGTATGGGAAACCCCCACTATTCAGCAACACTAGTCAGATGTTCTACAATCTCTTTCTTTAG